TTTATGACACGCTCCTGCCCAAAACTGACGGCACTTCAGTTTGTGAGGGTAAGCGGCGTGAGGGGGTGGGACGGGCTGGGGTTGGCTGCGGTGCGGGGACTTGTCAAAAACAGCCGTTGGCAAGTTTTTTGATGTGCTCGGGCCGCAGGACAATCTAATAAACGAGTGCCAAGCCAAAAGCTCGGTCAGGCAAAAACTTTCGGTGACCTTTGTGGGTGGACTGTGGAGCGGGGCGTGGGTGGTCAGGAGCTGTGATGAAAAATATACCTTTGAAGGATTCACTTTCACACACACGCACAAATTGGAATGAATAATAGAATATGATGAGAAAAAAACCAGCACAAATGAGCTTGGGCCCAAGCTCAGTTCTTAATGTTGCTGTTGTTGTTTCTGTGGGTCTTTTGTTGGCAATTTCCGTGCTTTATTGACTCGACATTGACTCTTTCCAGGGGGCTGTGTGGGTTGGGTAGCGCTTGGAGTGTGCGTAAACCAAACAAACAAATAAACAAACCAAGTGAGAAACGTTGACACATACACTTACGAGATTAAAAAGAAGACAAAACAAAAAAGCGCCAAACAAAAAAAAAAAAAAAATGAGTAAACAATATCCGCTGAGTTGGCCAAATTGAAAAGGCTCTCGCCCCACCTGAACGCCAGGAGGCTATCAACTGGCAGCTGCTTGCGGCAACTTCTGTGCCGCATATTTAATGAGGTGTCGTAAGTTTCTGCCTCAGCAGTTTGACAGCTTGCCACAGATGGATCGCTGCTCTCTCAGTTAGTTACTTAGTTCCCTCTAATAGCTGAGCGAAGGGGATGGTGGAGGGGGCGGGGGCCTGTACAAGTTTTGATGCTTTGATTTATAGCCGCAAAGTAATTTGGCAAATTGCTAGGCACATATTTAGTCCACAGGCAGCTGCTGTTATCCGCTCGGCCGCAGCCTCTGCTCCATCAATGCCAATTAATTGTCGTTTATTTGGCCATCAATTGTCATTTCACCAATGATCCTTAACTCGACTGTCAATTTAGGCAGCTAAATTTTAAGCTGTCAATTAACAAATTGTTTTGCAGCTAAACAACATTCCACCAAACACACAAAATGCCAATTTAGTACACGAACAACTTTTCACTTTTCCAATTTGCCAGCAACACAAATTATTTAATTACTTAACAGTTTTTACAATACTATTGCTTTAATCTTTATATTAACAAGTTTATGTATACGTAAAAAACGGGGGTTTCTCTTTCTGATTGATTGATGTATGAAGCGCAGCCCAAATCGTGGCTATCATTCACAGTGGTTAGCTTTGAAACGAAAGTAAACACTAAGTTTGGCATTCTAGGTCAGCTTGGCATCTAAATCTGGCAGCATGATTCTTGGTCGAAATTCATGTTAAAATTGTACCCTCAAGTCCTCAAATATCCTATATAGACATGGGTCAAAATTTACCACCCCCATAACTCGGTCAAATCACATCCGATTTTCATGTGGTTTGGCGTTTTGTTCATGGTTCGACCCCTAGATCAACTTGGCATCAAAATCTGGCAACATGATTCTTGGTCAAGGTTTCTAAGGTTTGGCTCGATAAAGCTTAGTATGAGTGCGCAATGCCGGCGAATGTGAGTTGTTAGTATTTTTAGTTGAATTTTCAATTCATTTGATGTTCATTTATATAATTGCTTTAAAACAGCAGCGTTTGTTTTTGCTGTGTATTGCCATTTGATTTAGTCTAATCAACGCAGAGTTTGTAGCTCCCAATCTCCCGCTACAATAAACACGCTAAGCGATCCCCTCCATCCAAATCCCGCGTCTTGCAGCCATAATTCAAATGCGGCTTAAAAGTCACAAGGCTAGGGCAAAGGCAAGAAAAAAGTTAAACAATAGACGCAACGCATAATTGTGCAGCGAACTGTATTAAACAGGGTCATATGCACAATTATAAGAATAACAAGAGTCGAGTAGAATAACAATAACAACAACAACAGCAACAACAACATTGTGGCATACGCACCACAAAATCTTAAAATTTTCTATGCGGCAAGCGGAAGTCGTCTATGGCAGCCTCCTCCAAAGTCAGCTCAGACAGCGCGCAGCTCTGCCACTCCCCACACCCCATACCCCCACCCACCTACTCCCGCTGCCACGCCCATATTCGTTATGGCTGGGCGACTGCGTGGCTTTAGAGCCCGCAAAGCACTCGAACGGAAAGCAGCATTGCGTTGGCTTTGACACAGCGTGGTTGTGTAGGGTGGAGGTGGAGGTGTTGCCTTTTAATTTTTCTCTATATTTTCTAGTTTGTTTTCCTAACAAAACTGCAGCCCATTTGATTTGGTTTGTGTATGTTTCTTTTGAAGATTTGTTTAAGCGATTTGCTAACAAATTGACGAGCAACTTATAATTTCTTGTGGCTGCTTGAATTTATTTGCTCTTGTTGCTGTTGCCGCGTGCCAACCCTCAACCCCTGACCCCCCCCGTACAGGCAAACAGGTCTCGTGGCTATCTGGAGTGGTGGGGGTGGGTGGGGAGGGGCAACTATTAGCCTGTCGCCTGGTTGGCATTGCAAATCATAAAAACTGCCAATCTCATTGCCATTGAAGGACTAATCCCGTAATTACAAATCCACGGCTCGCTGCCTTTCTCCGTTTCCTTTGGCCAAGGATTGGCCACGTCCCCAAGCGGTTCTGGTGCGGTGGATCACTGGTCGAATTCTAGGCAAAATCAATACGTTGCGTTTCTCTTGCTTAGCTCTGTGTACATAATTTGTTTACCCTGTGCTAGAGCGCACTGAGGGTATATTTGGGAGACGATCAAACTCTTTGGGAATTATAAGCGCAAGTCTTGTGCCTTGCTTATCAATGTATATTTTGATAATTACAGGTCAACTGTTAGTCGTGAATCTATCCCATTGTCAATCGGCATACCCCGTGCTCGTACGCAAACAGGGTATATTAACTGCTTCAACTGTTTGGTAATTACAAGTCTTGTGCCTTGCACTTCGCTAGGTATTTTGCTAATTACAGGTCATCTGTTGGTCGTGCATGCTCGCCGCAGCCATGCCGCTTGTCATAACGTTGCCATATGCCCATTGTTAAGGTTCTTGGCCTCAGTTGCGTTCGGTCTTACATGAAATTTTCCGATAAGAGAAAAAAGAAATGCGAATGCATTGGCTGGGTGCTGGCCGTGGGGCGGAACGGGTCGGGGCATTAAAATTTATGCGCGGAATTGATGCCCCTTCGGGTTTTTGCTGCTGTTCGTTTTATAATTTGCTCGCTGAGCTGCATTTTATCGGTCCTTAGATAATTTATATGTGCTTTTTATATACCTCACAGATATATGTATATATATTTATATATATATATATATATATATGTGGTCCATGTGAAAGTGTGTGTATTGTGGGCTCGACTTCAGTTCGATATGTTTGCCCGAAGTCGACGTGCAGCTGGGATCCCAGTTGATTTAGATAATGCGATTTCCTGCCACAGACTTTGCATTTCTTGTGGCATGCGGCATGTGGGGCAAGTTAATTGCGTTGCGATTACAGCTGGGCGAGGGTGTCGCACTCTGCCCATTAGCTGGCAAAGTTAATTTATGCAAAATGCCTCATACTCTGCGGCAATGCTTGTGTCATTAACAAACGGCGACAAACGAGGGGGCAAAGCTGCAAGCTAAAAGCTGAACCAAAGGTAAATCTCAGCTAGGCACCGCAAGTCTAATTTGCAAAATGTACTCAACCACACACACGCACACACACACGCGCTGGCCAAGGTGAAGACCACATCAAAAGCATTCACTTGGCCAGTGGCTGGCACTGGATGCCACATTCGATGCATAAATCAGATTTAATTAATTTAACCTCTGTCAACCCAATTTGATTGCATATTGCATAGAGTTACAAAACATTTTCCAAAGACTCACCTGCTCACCTGCTCGCTCTGTTCACCTGTTCACCTTCTCATTTCATTTTGCATTTAAAGCCAGCATTGTGTATTTTAACTTTGTTTCATTTGCCTGTGCAGTTGACATGGCCATCAAATTGATTTTCCTCTACCTGTCTTCCTGACTTGCCCCCGCCCTCGCCCACTCGCCCACTTTGACTCGCGTGTGCTGCGATTGTTTTGGAATTGATATTGAAAGCTGTCAATTTGCATTTGACATCGTTTTCCATTTTTTTGTTGTCTTTGTGTTGCAACAACTGCACTTTTTTCCGCCATTTTGCTTTTACTTTTGCCAATACTCGAGCCAAAATCCTCCCTATCCCCCCTTGCACGTCGACGTCTGCCTTTTAGTATGTTTGCCACTTGCTGGCATTTCGCGGGCTTCGTCTTCTTCATTTGGTACCCTGTAAAAATTGGCATAGTTGCTTAACGCCTTATACGAATGTTATCGATACTCTGATATCGATAAATATCGATGTATAATTAGGTTTTTGAGCGTCTTTTAGAATATAAAATACAGCGACAGAAAATTGGGTAAGTGGTTTCTCGCATAGTCGACAGTTTCAGAATAATCCCCATACATACATATATATTTTTTCTCAATACCTTCTCCACTTGAATTTTTCCCGATATATATCGATTAATAGACATTTCAGTGATGCCTTCGAGACTGTAGGCCAGAGTCGCCAACTTTGCTATTTAGTTCCTCGTATTTTTACTCATATTTCGGATGTTTTATGTTTTCGAAACAGGGTATCTAGGCCTAGGGAATTACCGACTGTATTTTGTGTGATTTTTCAGTTGATTTGGCTGCCATTTCGCATTGGTATGAGTGTGGATGCATGAAAATCCTTCGCCAGCTCTGACTTTGATGTGTTTGACATTGTTTTCGTTTTTCGCTTTTCAAATTTCATTGTTTCGTTTTGTCGCTATTCGTTGTTGTTTCCACACGTTTTCCCCAAAGAGCACGTTTCGTTGCAAAGTGTTCAATGCGATTTTGTGTTGCAACAACAACAAGAACGACAGCAACGACAACAACAACAACTACAATAACAACTTCATAGTTTACTTGTTTATGTCAACGACATTGTCAGCTTTTCATTTCATTAAAAAATTTTGTGTCAAATACATTAATATAATTTAAGAGGGCCGCTTATAAAAGGGAGTTACAATTTTGGACATTTATGTATTTAGAATATAATCATAGTCAGGACTAGCAGTAAAGCATTTTTAAAATTTTCTAAAACCATTTCCTATTGAATACTTTCCGATTAAAAATGGATCTTCCATAAAAATTCTAGGAATTAATTATTTGATTTTATCCAGATCAGCAACCGAATTCTCAAACCTTGAGCTTCAGTCTGGTATTATTTTGCCGGGGCTTTTGTTTCCATCTCTTTTCTATAATACATGCATGATGTTAGAGTGAAGATTATTTGAATGACTGTAAGCAGACAGGGTTGATATAATTAATAAGTTGTTAATTCTTGCAGCTTTTGCTAAAACCTGCCTGGTAGGTAAATAGTCAGCAGGCACAAATAGGGAATTATGGAGCTCATAAATATGCCGCACAAAAAAGGACACCCTTTGTTCTATGCAGAAAGGAAACAAAATTAAAGCCAAGAATATAGCACACATATAAATATTTAAATGAGCTCCACTTACTTTCCAATAGCCAAGTATCAGTAATATTCCCGCGACTGTGTGCACTAACGCCAACATAAATGAGATAATGGCCGCATATAAAGGACAATCAGTTGGATCAACTATTTGATCAGAGTTTGTATTCAGATTTCTTGTAGATAGTATTTGTTTTGGTGACTACTTACTAAAATAATAAATTGAGAGTACCAAAAAAAAGATTCCATGTGTTAGAGTCCAAATGCCAAAAAAGAGCGCCTTGGTATCCAGCGGGCAACAGCCGTTTTCAAGACAATCATTGGAGCAGCACATTTTTCAATTATTTTTTTTAGTGTTATATACGAAATTTTAAAAAGACAAAAATGGATATGGATAAAAGATTGAATTGTCAACGCCTACAGGGAAACTGAGGTTTTAATGCCCTGAACCCAAACTCCTCTCCGACATTTTGCTTTTACTTTTGTTAAAACTCGAGCCAAAGTTCTACCTTCAGTATGTTTGGTACCCTGTAAAAAGTGGCATACATCGCTACTTTTATATCGATAAATATCGATTTTATATGCGTTTTTTTTTGCGTCTAAAAAATCCAGCGACAGCAAATCTAAGAAGTGGATTCTCGCATAGTCAAAATAATCCTGATAACATGTCTATTTTATCGATACCGCCCCTATTTGACTTTTATCGATTAATAGACTTTTCAGTCGGGCCTCTGAGACTGCAAGCCAGTCTCCATTTTTTTATGTGGTTTCACATATCTTATACACAAAATTTGAATGTTTGGCGAATGTTTAAGCATTGGTATATGAGAAGTGTTCAATTAGATATGATATTGATACACAACAGTTACAATAACAACTTTATAATTTATTGGTTTACATCAACGACTTTGACAGCTTATAATGTCATTCAAAAATTTTGTGTCAACTACATGAATATAATTGAGCAGGCCTGGTAATTAACTGGAATTTTGTTTACGTACTACAACAATTTTGAATATCTATTAGAATATAAACATAATTAGGACTAGGAGATGCCTGAAAATCAACTATAAAAAGCTATGGTATAAAGTTTTGTAAAAAGTGTCCTATAGATTACTTTCCGCCTAAGATTAAGTTTCTATAGAAATAGGAATTCGATTCCAATTATCTATAAGAACTAAATTTTCCCATTGCATTTTTGTCATCAATTTCCATTTGCTTTCAAATAAATTTGTAATTGTTTGAATTGATTCTGGATCAGCAATCGAAATCATAAACCGGTATCATCATAGTCCGGTATTATTTTGGCATCTCTTTTTTATAATATATGCATGATGTAATAGTAAAGATTATTTGAATGACTGGTAGGTAAATAGATGGCAATAATATATAGGGAATTATGGAGCTCAGAATGATGCCAGCCAAAAACAAGGGTCTCATGTCCTATGCAAAGAAGGAAACAAATTAAAATAATAAAATAGGCACACATAAATGTTTAAATGAGCAACTTACAGCCCCATAGCCAAATAACAAGCATAGTCCACCTGCTAGATGCACCATGGCGCCTATCAATGCCAGAATGGCCCCATATAGTGGACAATTAATTGCAGCAACTATTTTTGTTTAGAGTTTTGTGTTCACATTTTGTAAAGCTGAAACGATTGCAACTTACCAAAAAAGTAAATTGATGCTCCAAAAAAAATTACTCCATGTACGATAGTCCAAATGCTGAAGAACAGCGCCTTGACCTCCAGCGAACAACAGACTTTTTCGAGACAATCATTGGAGCAGCACATTTCTATTAGATTTCGTATTTGTCTAAGTAATATGCTTAATGTTTAAAAAATGAATGCGGATACAAAATATATATGCTATATATGTTTAATGTTAAAAAAATTAATAGGGATACGAAAGAAAGATGGAATTGTCAACGCCTACAGGAAGATTGAGATTTGTATGCTCTGAACACAGTTTAGTTTTTTTGACAGTAGTTGATTTGAATCTCTCAGTTCACTTACAATTGTATAAGAAACTTTGGCACGCTGAAGATTTAATACGTTTCACTATTGCAAATATCTGAGAATATTGAAGCTGAGTTTGATATAAAACATCTTCGAAAATATAGAACATTTTACCAAACAAAAACCTGATTTTCAACAGATCTGTCCTATGGCAGCTATATGATATAGTAGTCCCATCCGGCCGGTTATATATATATATATATATTCTCTCTTCGGATAACTTCTCTGTGCCCTTGTATCTACATCCAATTCTGTTTTTACACGGTAGATTGGCTCCAGAAATATGTTATAGGCTCCTTATATCTAAAACGTATTAAAAATTAGTAAAAAACAAGGATTTTTCATGAATATGTTTATTATATTAAAACAGTTGAAAAACTAAAAAACAGGTGATTCAATTTTAAAGGTAAAAATATTGCAAAAAATATATAAATAAGTGAAGGAGTATAAAATATTTTTTGGCTGAACTTTTAGCTTAGTACGTTAAAATTAAATTTCATGTAATGTCGGAAAAACAAATTTCTTTACTAAAATTTCACCTAAATTTAACATATGAACGTATTTCACAAAAATTGAACTTGACAAAAGATTTTGAATCGTGCTAAATGGCTTAAAATCGTGGAAACACAAATGTAATTTTCTTTTTTTTTTTATTTTCAAACCGTGTTAAATCAAAACCGCGTAAAAACAGAAATACGATGAGAATAGGATGAGGATGGATGCATTTGCCATTTATGCGGGGCCAAGAGTATATTTTTGTGTATATTTGTACTGAAACAAGTCGAAATCCTTGTAACTGACAGCTCGATGTTGAAAACAGGGCATCTCCCAGTCGAGCGAGATGGTTTCGATTTATGAAAACGTTACGAAATATCTGTTCCCTTGCTGAAAGTAATTTATTTCATAATCATGATAATATACACATCTATATGTTCTGCGTAAAATCTGGGTATCTGAATAGTTCTTTAACTGTTGCCGCGTCTTGAAGTTCTTCCCGAATCTCGTCTTTGTGGACGACCTTACTTACAACATACGCCCTGCATACTCATCAGCATATAAACATCTGCTTGTTCTGTTGACGCTCAATACTTTCTTAACTGTTGCTGCGTCTTCACATTTATCCCGGTTTTCGTCCAGTTGGCTTTACTTACAATATACGTTCATACGACATATACGCATAATTCCATACGACCATATACCACATTTATTTGTTTTGTTTAAAATCTCGATACTTCTGTTTGGCCCATTTGCTAGGCTTTTTTCCTTTTTTTTTCAAAATGCATTTTAATCACATTTAAATGGTCCACAATCAAAATCTAAACGTGAACATTTGACCTCTTGTCAGCTTCTCGCAATCGGATTGGTGTTCTTTAGTGCTTCTTTACATTTTCATTTTATAATATCTGCATGCTATGATAATGAAGATGACTTGTATAACTGCAAGCAAGACAAATTAAATATAATAAATAGGTGTCTAATTTTTGGTAACTTTTTCTATAACTTGCTTGGTAGGTAAATTAATCCCACAAACACAAATGGTAATATGGAGCTTAAAATGATGCCAACCAAAAACATAGTACGTTTGTTCTACATAAAAAAAATCATATGTTAGTTAAGGGGCATTCAGATGACTTCGACAATACGAGCTTACCTTCAAAAAGCCCACTAACAAGAGTATTCCAGCAATTAAGTGCACGAGGGCAATTATTAAGAGGCCAGCGCCGATATAAAGAAAAATATCTTCAGCATACAAATATGCTTCAAGGTTTCTATGATCAATTTGCACAGCTGAAATATACATGCCAATATTTACCTATATAACCAAGCATTGCTATTGTAAAAATGATTCCATGTATAAGAGTCCATATGCTGAAGAAGTACGCCTTGCTCCATAGCGAGCAACAGCAGTCGTCGAAACAATCCTCGGGGCAGTAACACATATTTAATTTTCAACTGTAAATTTTTGGAAAAGTTTAAAGTGTAAACGACTTGTTTACCTTAAAAGTTTGTGTTTTGTGAACGTAAACAAAAATTGACATTAAATATGGAATTGTCAACGCCTGCTTAAATTTTGAAAATATTTCAAATTATTGAACAAAAAATTACAAAAGAAAGTAAAAGACGAGCTAAAGTATACCCTGAATCAAATGAAAATGGTTAAACCAATTATATGAAACAAGAGTGCCAGACTAACAGATGTCCTGTACTCAACGGCGAGCTAGCTTCATCTCCCAGCTAACCTCTAAGCTATGTGTTCTTCAATTTTTTTGGCGTTTATAGTCCTATCATTATGACATTTCCAAGGCGTAGAAAAATGTTTTAAACCCAAAGAGCTGAGCTCTAGCGTTAAAAATGAATTTTGTTCAATTATTAAAAGTAAAATAGTCTCGATTTGTATTTACTGTAAGAGAATTTACACTTCAAATTTGGTGCATTAAGCTTTTAAGACTTTTGAGTTATGCTTAGAAAACCAAGTCCTAACATCGAAATTTATCGATGTAATCGAAATATATATTTCAGATATCAAGTCTAAGGCTTCCGAGATCAGGGGGAGAAACGGAACAGGAAATTTTTAAAAGATACGGGGCATTAAAAGATGAATTTGGGGCAGAATAAATTGTTAACACGCATGTGCCACAAAATAATGCGACTGACGAAAATTAACTGAAACTTTATTAAATATGCAGCAGCTCAGTTGGGTATGTGGGCCGGAAACTTGAGCGAAGGCAGCGGCGACAGCGCGCAGAGGGGATATAATGAATGCTGAATGTTTAAGCAGAAAGTCCAGAAAGACCGAGACAAAGGCGAACGCGATGTCGAAAATACAGACGTAGACGATGCGCGTGTAGTGGGGAAGAGGATGGTGGTGTTGTGTTGACTGGAGGTGGAACCTGCGAACCGTGGACTATTGGGATGAGTCTCAGGCCCCAGTCGGGTGGGGGCAGGGAGGCATATTCAAATCTAGGCTAGAACTTTTGCTTAATGCAATAACCGTGTTGGGGCCCAGCCACATGTAAATGGGGAACACGGGCGCGACTGGAGCTACAGGCAGCAATTCCCCAGGAAGTCAAAACAGCGACACATGTGTGTGTGTGAGTGTGTTTGTCTGTGGCACTTACAACGGCAACATTGGACGGCACAATCAAATGCATTGGCCTAAGGATATTTTCGTGTTGGCAACAATGAAAACTGGCAACAGAGACGGCAACAGGAAGCGTGAGCGAGATGCACAGAACAGAGTACGACTTATAGGCTGACAAAGAGGGGAAGAGAGAGAAGGAGAGTGAAAGAGAATGTATGAGAGTATGAATAAGTGGGTGGGGCTTTCAACAACAGCAAATGCTTTCAATTATTAATTTTGTTTTGGTTTTTAAAGTCTCACCCACAAGCTGGCAATTGACTGTTTAACTGAAACCTAACCGAACCCCGTTCTAAACTCCTCTCTCCACTCCTTTCTCTACGCCTGCCACGTGACACATTTGTTATGTTTGTCATATATATATGGGTAAATGGGTCATCTAATAGTTTGTTTGTCTGCAAATTTACTTGGCGCTTATCAACACTGCTGCGAAGCACGCATAAGAGAGTATCCAACACTGACACTTTTCAGCACTGACTCCAATAAGCACTGATGCTAGTGACTAATTTGTAAGACATATTTTTTTATATATCTAACTTATTTTTAGTGGATATTTTAAATTGTTGCCTTTGGATGTATGTTGCTTTTCCTTTTTCAATTTCTTCACCATTCCAATTCCCATCCCGGTTTCCATTCTCCGCGTTCCATTTCACACTCAACTGGAACAATGATAAATGCTTGCCGGCGTTCTACGACCTCTTGTTGTTCGCCTTTCTGGGCTGACTTTTGAATACCCGAGTGAAATCATGAATTATGATCGTTATAGCAATTTCTTGTTAGTCATTTTTGGTGTGTCTTTGTCGCTCTCTATCTCTCTCTCTTGAAAATACCAACTCGTTTTGAAAGTTTAGGCATTTCGTGGCCAGTGTTGGTTAATTGCTGAAGTTGTGCCTTTATGGGCTGGCGCTTGACTTTTGTGAAGCACGCAAAAATGATACACATAAATTGCTTTATGTGCCATAAAATACCTGTAAAGGTATGCGTATGGGTGTGTAAATATTTAATGTTTAAATTTAAAAATATAATTATATTTTGCCGTGGCGCGCGTGCAATCAGCATGATGTCCTGGCTTCCTGCCTCGACTGCCAGCCCTGCTGGCTTCCTGCCAGCTAGTCAGTCAGTCAGTCGGTCTGCCAATTTAATTCGTTTGCATAAATTTTTGGCAAAATGGGGCGGGGATGGTGGCGGGACGGACAGGGGGGCGCCTGCGATTACCGCTGTGTGGGTCACAAAACCGAAGCCCTGCGGCTTTTTTATGCGCCCCACAATGCCAGGCTCTAACCTATGCAAAGTTGACTTCGTTTGTTTTTTATGTTGTTTTCCTTTGCAAAATTCGATTTTAATGTGCCGGCAAATGCCTGAAATATTTGCTGCCATTGCAGCCTGGCCTAGGGTAGGCGGAAAGTGGGTGTTGTTTTGCCTGTGTCTTGGCTGTCCTCCTCTTCTTCTGCTCTGCCCCTCCCCTCGTGGCTGTGACGGGCTGTTGTGCTCTTGTTTTGATTGTCTTGCTTCAAAACAATTTCGGCTATTTGTCTGGGTCTGTGTCTCAGTCGCATGCATAAATAATCAAAGCGAATGCAAATAAACAAAAGCGTTTGCCATCCAGCTTTAAGTAGACTTATATATTATTTCACTTTCGTGTGGCTTTCAAGTAAATGCTGCTGCATAAATAAGCATAATTGCTAATTAAGTTGAATGTGTGGCTTTATGTGTCTTTAACTTGATCAATAATTGAATGACCGATTTGCTTGAATCGTCTTCGTCTGCTTGGCAGGCCCCTCTGAACCCATGTGGAGCCACTGACAAGCGCTGCCCGCCTCCGAGAGCCATAAATCATCATTTATATTATTAACATGGGGATCAAAATGGACAACACAGACAAGCCAAACAACCTAAACACGCACACTTTCATATGCATCTGCTTGTGTGTGTGTGTGTGTGTGTGTGTGTGTGTGTGTGTAAACCGGAAACCAGAGCGACCGCAAATGACAAGGGAATGAAAGTATGTCCGTGTCCGTCTAAAATATGTTGCTTGCAAAAACATCAAACGTTGCCAGGATGAACCGAACCGAGCCGAACGTACGGAACGAATGGAACATTAAAGTGTTGCATATTTATGGGCGCAGCGCGAGAAGCCAGAGCCAAGTGGCAGGCCAAAGCCGTAGCCAAAGAGTCACCCAGCTAACCAGCCAGCCAAAGGCAAATTCGAGTCCGAATAGAACAACCCAATTGAGTGTGCAGTAAACTTATGTCTGCCACAAAACAGTCACGACCACAGTCGCGGTCAATTGTATAGGGCTGGCTTCTGATTGATAGTCCAATTGCATATGTGATTGATAGATCCTAAAATATCGGAAACAAACTAGGTGTGATTGGCATATCTGATTGACTGACTGACTGACTGATTGATTGATGATAACTGCACAGCCCAAACCACATAAAAGTAGTTTTTTAAGATCTAAGGAAACTTAAAGGAGGGGCTGAGGATAATTTCTAACTTGGGAATTTCTTAGAGAACGATTTGACGAAGCTTCACTTTAATTATTTGTTTATTTTCCTTCGGCTTTAATCATTCGAAAATTTTTGTAAGTTCGACAAATGCAGAGAAAATATGTTTAAAATTTAAAATAAATTTTTCTTGTTGCTCTCTCACTTGACATTGTTGCGTGCTATTTTCCAAGTGTCTCAATTTGAGTGCATAATTTTTGCGGCTACTGTTTATATGCGAGAGCCCGTATGCAAAACTAATAAAAAACTCCAACTGACCAGGTTAGCTGGCAGCAGCAGCTCGTGTCGTCGGCTCCTGGCGCGTCTGCCACGTCTGGCTGGCCGGCCAGGCACAACAGACTTTGTGTGCGTGTGTGTGTGTGTGTGATGGACTACGTTGCGAGGTTTGCAGTCTCCAGCTCGCCAGTGCTTTGCATGTTTTATAGCTGTGACCTTAATCCCACCGTGCCCTGTCGTGTCTTCCTATATCTGTGTGTGTGACGTGTGAAGGTGTTTTTGTCTTTAGGGCTACTGTTTGTGCTGGCGCTGAGCTTAAAGGTGAACACACACTCACACACATCCAGGGTGTGAAAGGGTATATGAGCAAGCATTTAAATTATAATAACATTTAGCCATACACATGGAAAGTCAATTATCGATTAGTAAATCGATAAATTTCAATTGTTTTGCAAACCTGTTTGCAATTTTCATCTAGTTTTTCGTTATTTGCATTTGGGGTGCAAAGAGAGAAGGTACGTAAATCCAGGTATATCTCTTATTCGTCCGACTGTCTAGCTGTCTGTCTCTTTGTCTGTCCGCCTATTTAAACGTGTCTCAGACAGTAAAAGAGCAAGAAGAGGGTATAAGTCAAGTCTTTCAGGCAGTTTATGAAATTTATGTATAGTTCAACATCGATAAGTGTTCACATTTCGATAAATCTCAAATTACAGGTAGATTATGATATCTCAATACTGAAAAATCATTTGTAAAACTTTTCCTTTAAAGCTACTTGAGTTCCCGTTTATCCAGATATTTAGCTTTACACATTTAATCCATATTCAAGCTTTGCAGAGCAGTCGATTTGTTATCGATAAACGATAAACTTCTAAATATTTTTCCATACTTTGAACTAATATAGAAGTTGTTCAATATAAAAAGAACTTTCTCTCTTTCACCTGTTTCAGGGTATTTGCAAGTCGAGCTTCTCCCTCAGCATATTTTTCGGCAATTGTTGTTCGACTCCAATTAGACTCTGACAAGGTGCTAGTTGAATTTTAATATCCTTTTCAAATAAATCGATTTCAACAAAAGTGCGGATCGAAGCTAGTTGAAATTGTTGTTGCAACTTCTTGGGTCGTAAGTTAGTTGTTGTTGTTGTTGCTATTGTTGTTGTTGTTGCC